TAAGGCATTTTCTTTCTGTTTATTATTTAGGTAAACTTCAAACAGAGCTAGGTAAGGGCATTTTTTTGTTTTGCTTTTTTTCTCACACTGATACAACCTTTTCTATGATAATGAATTCTATTGATACTGCATTTGTCTGGCTTAATTCTCATCCCCATCTATGTGTTTGCTTCCAGAGTGGAGGAGATCCCTGGGTGATGCAGGTAATTAAAAATCATATTTAATCAATGGGGGATCATGCTCCCTTTCGCTGTGCAAATAAACAAGGAGAAAACTATAATATTTCCCAGGTGGAAGAAGGGAGGGTGCTGAGGTTCAAAGGAGGGAGAGGAATGGACCATCCTCGCATGTCCTCCTTACACATTGCTCCCATAACTCTGGAAACGTCCCTGCTCCGAGTGACTGAGCAGTTATTGTTTCTTAGGATCCTCGCCCTAGTGTCAGGTAGAGGAACAAGAGCGCTGACCAGACACACGAGTTCAAACCAAGGAGTCCCTGTGATCAGTGTTCAGCTTGTGCTTCTTTTCTCTTCTCTCCATCCACAGTGATCTCCCCTTTCTGCTCTCTCCGTCAGATCCCAACTTCCTGCTGTTTTTAACCATCTTATCCACGTTCTCCTCCATGCCTTCATTTATATCAAACCCTCTTTCTTCTCTCTCCACCACCAACTCTCCTCTCTTGTAGAAGCCCCTTGCCCATAAATACAAATCTTTATGTTAGAAATGAAATCTAGAGTGATAATTCTCTTGGTCTGGCCCTGATGACTAGCTACAGAATTTTAATTAGGGAATCTATTGAATCATGTCATTATTGACAGATCTCAGATATGTGGCAGGATGGAGCAGGTGTCTGGGTGGCATCAACAAGAAACATCCAAGCTCCAGGACTTTAAATACAAGAGAGGGAGGGCACGTCAGAGAAAAGATAGTTGTGACCATGTGAATGATGTGAGGGGAAATCAACTAGGGCTTCCCTGTGATTCCAGGATCTCTAATCCCCACTCTGAGGATAGATGGGTGCACGAGGGGAAAGATTATGAGTCTCAGGACTGGGTCAGTAAATCTTTATGCTCTGTCACTGACCTGTCTCTGACTGGGGAATGAAACTCAGGAGTGAATGCTGAGATCTCAGAGCTGCTTCCCATTCAGAGCCGGGTAAATCCTGGAGGAATATTTCCTGGTTCACTGTCCCGCTGGGACAGATTCTGTCACTGATATAATGAAACACTCCCCCAAGGTGGAGCTGTGTCCCTAACGCTCTGATTCTCTCTCCCCCTAGCGAATGTGACTCTGGATCCAGACACGGCTCATCCAGAACTTGTCCTGTCTGAGGATCGGAAAAGTGTGAGATGGGCAGACACACGGCAGGATCTGCCCGACAACAATCCTGAGAGATTTGACACTGAGCGCTCTGTGCTGGGCTGTGAGGGGTTCACCTCAGGGAGACATTACTGGGAGGTGGAGGTGGGAGTTGGGCTACTCTGGGCTGTGGGGGTGGCCAGAGAGTCTGTGAGGAGGAAGGGAGGGATCAGCCTTAGCCCTGAGGAGGGGATCTGGGCTGTGGATCAGAGGCAGGGCCAGTACCAGGCTCTCACCACCCCTATGACCCCCCTGCTCCTGAGCCAGGCCCCCAGCAGGATCCGGGTTTGTCTGGACTGTGAACGGGGGCAGGTGACATTTATCAATGCTGCTGATGAGGCCCCGATCTTCACTTTCCCACCGGGCTCTGTCCCTGGGGAGAGAATCCGCCCTTGGCTCTGGCTGGGGATGGAAAGCCAGCTCAAACTGTGTCCCTGAGGGACGGGGGGTATATCCCACTGGGGACCCTGAAATCAGCCTGTCTAGTCTCACACACCCCAGTCTCTATGATCTTGACGTCATCCAGTCCACCCAGTCCTATGGCCTCTTAACTCTGTGTCCCCTGGAACCTCCTCCCCCGTCCCTCCCTGCAGCACAGAGATTTATAAAACGTCACTGAAGGTGAGACTGTCACTCGTTCATTTCATATGTTACTTCCTTGACTTTGTTGCCATTTCAGTATCATTAAAAAAATGGTTCCCCAAACCTGTGGGTCTGTTTTCCATTGGGGTGGGTATTGAAGCTGTTTCTTGTTTCCTTTTTGCTCTGACGGGTGTTCACGGTAAATAAAGCATGAAAGACAATTCTGATTTGTCCCTTTATAGTTTTCCAGCTGCAATTGTTGGGGGCAGAGTCGTGGGATTTGCTTCCCTACTTGGTTGTGTCCCCCCAGCACCAGCAGGGAATACACCGGCATGTCCCTCTGATGAGAGCTGGGGGTTTGCTGTGATATGCTGCTATCCAGCCTGTGCTCTGTCCCTTGTGCTGTCTATAGCCATGTCAATCAGGAATTCCTCAGCTGGGCTCTGTGGAGAGGGGGCTGAATACATGGTGCTGACTCTCCTCTTTGTTTCCAGAGGTGTTGAATTTGTTCAGAGGTGGCTAAGGAGATATGAAATATGTTGTTCATATTTCTTCTGCCCATCAGCAATTGCTGTGGTATCCAGGGTGGTGTTCATGGGCCGGGACCTGCTCCGAGAGACAGTCTCCAGGGGTTTGTCTACACTAGGATGCAGGTTTCTCTCTCTCATTGTACAGTCCGTGTGTAGACAAGGCAAGTGGTTGTTTCACCTCAGGGTCACTGGTCAAGAAGAATTCTGTGGATTGGGGGATGTTTGGGAGGGTTATCAGTAACCTTGAGTAGCTAAACTGAGGTGAAAGCATCACTTGCCTCACCAACACTAGGACTGTATAATGACATTACTGCCTTATGTTTGCTATTGCTTTGAAAAAAATACCCTTTCTCCTAGGGTGGACATGAGCTATAAGATGGGATCTAAAGGGAGACACCCCACTCTCGGCCAGGGCTGTGACTTTGTTTTCTGTGAGCTTCTAATGTCATTTTTAAGTGCCTAGAACATCATAAGAACAACACTGCAACCCACAAAGCCTGACTTAGGTGCCTAGTCTCCCTATGCAATGAACGGAGACAGACAGGGGCCTTAAAATGCCGTCCACAAGAGCCGGCATGCTAGGTGGGGAGTCATCTAAACTAGCCAATGGGAGATGCTAACAACAGGGGTGTGTCCTAAGCTCTGCCCCTCTCTTGAAGATAAGTGCCTAAGTCTGCATTGCTGGGGGGCACCTACCTCTGCTTAGCAATCCACAAATGGGAACCCACCACCTGAGGCATTTCTTCTGGGAATGAGTTAGGCCCCTGCTGAGTTGCACACAACATGTGGGTGGAGGGAGGGGTGGGGGTTGTTTTGGTGCTGCTACCCACTTCATAACTTTAAGCCAGTAGTAGCACACTTGCCTGGGATGTGGGGGACCCAGGTTCAATGCCCCCTGCCTTTGCTACACGGGGAGAAAGGATTTGAACCGGGGTTGCTCATTTTCTAGGTGGGTGCTGAAGCCACTGAGCTATAGTACAGTCTGAGGGTGGGATTCTTCAGTCTCCCCTATTGCAGTTGGTTCACTGTGAGTAAATAATGGAGTGACTGGAAGACCTTTAACAGGAGAGGCTGAAGGATCCCAACATCAGACTACCTGGAGCTCAGTGGTTGTGACATTCTGTATCTCAGAGTAGCACCCTGGAAACCCCATATTCACCACTGTTGACTGACCCGCACATCACAACATAGACTGCAAATTTATTTTTATTTCTTGAGTAAGCAACTTTGATCTCTACACTTGCTACTTATAATCCCTTAAAAATGATCTTTCTGTAACAAATAAATCTGTTTTAGATTTGACCTAAAACTGTATTTATTGAAGTGCTTGGGAAATCTCAGGTCAGTTTACAAACGCTAGTGTGTGTCCTCTCCACATTGAGGGAGGGGGTGGACCTGGTGAAATGAACTGACACTGGCCAGGCTTCTGTGCAAGATGGTAAAGTTCTGGGGTGCAAGGCTGTGGAGCTGGGGGGAATTGGCTGGAGCAGATCTATTGTTGGTTCATGTAACTATCATGGAGAGATCAATTAGAAAGAAAAGGAGTCAAAGGGGGCTGGCAATTGCTAAATGATGTGATATTAGAGGCTCAGCATCAGGCTATTCTGATTCATAGGAAAGATAAGAAGAGCCACAGTAGACCAATGTGGCTGCAAAAGGAACTTTTTAGCTATCTAAAAACCAAAAGGGCTACACCCAGGAAACGGAAGGAGGGGCAACTCACCCAGGAAGTAGACACGGGAATAGCACGAGTGAGTAGAGACAAAAATCATGAAAGCCAAGGCAAGGAATGAGTTACAGTTGCTTAATTAATTCTATCATTTTTCACCTATTAATTTTCAAAGATGTAGTGCAGAGGTGGGTGTATGTGCCCTGCCTGCCAGAGAGAACCAGTCAAGACAATAAAGGGAGGGGGAGAGAGAGCAAGCAGCTGCACGTGTGTAGTTGCGATGTTTCTGACACATGTACATCGTAACCGAACAACCCAGTCTGACAATTTAATAGTTTATTTTGTTAAGATAAATATTTTGGATTTCTTGAAATTCCACAGTTAAAATACAAATGACGTTATTTAGAAAAGTTAAACTTCAATACAGATTTGAGGGAAGAATAAAAAAAAGTTAATAATTCCATTTCTAAAAAATATGTTTAGATGCTTGTTTTTGAAATACTGTTGAAATGTAAATTAAAATATTCTTGTATTTACACCTTGTTACAATAATATTTTCTGAATTAGAATAATCTTTTTTCTTTCATATTTTACATTGAGATTTCACAGGGTAGAAAATCCTGACAGGAGTGAATGACGCCATCCACCACCATCTGCTACCCCTGGGGCAGGGGACGGGAAAGGTGAGGGCTGGGGGTTGCCAGGTGTCTGGTTTTCGACTGGAACCTCCAGTTGAAAAGGGAAACTGGCAGCGTCCGGTCAGCACAAAAAGTCTAGTTGTTGCAGTAACTGGCCCCCACCACAGGGGGCGGGAAGATCAGCAGCTCTGGGAGGGGACAGTCTGTGCCGCGGGTGTCGCTGTCAGGGACCGAGATTCCCTCCGGCCTGAGCTGCGACTGGGCATATTATCAGGGGAGACGCGTTTTCATCCTCATCATAGACACCAGGATAGAAATAAGGGCGGAACGTCCCAGAGAAGGTGTCAGTGAAAGTGAAGAGATGGGACCTGTCAGTCACACTGTAAAATGAGACCTCGCCCGCCTCATAGTCCAGGAAAATCCCCACCCGGCTGGGCCTGACGCTCACGGGGAAGGGGGTCGAGGGGGAGGTGCAGGCCTCGTATTCCCTATACCTCAGCCGCACAGCCCAGTATCCATTCATAGGTGTGGGTGTGACCTGCCCCTTCCTGCTCACAGATTCCCTACAAACCCCCAGAGTCCATCTTGTCTTGTCTCCCACCTCCATCTCCCAGTAATGCCTCCCACCTGTGTACCCCATAGTGCCCAGGACACAGGGACAAGGATCAAATCTCTCCGAGTTGTTGGGCAGATCCTGGCGTGTGTCTCCGAGTTTCACATGTTTCCGATCCTCAGACAGGACGAGTCTGGGATGAGCCATGTCTGGATCCAGAGTCACGTCCACTGGGGAGAGAGTCACAGAGTCAGTTCTGGGGGCAGGGGCTGGTCACTGGGATCAAAGGGAAATTAACCTGCATCCCGTTAATCACTGGGGGCTGCAGTGAGGGGTTGTTGCCTGTGGGGAGTCAGGACCTGTCTGCCTGTGAGGGGCTGCAGAGGGTGAGGGGTGCATGGGCACCAGTGCAGAAGAAGGGGACAGAACCTAGGGGGCATAGGGAAGCAAGGGAAGGGGTGGGTACCAGAGAACAGAGTGATGTGAGGGAATAGGGGGGCTCTATTGGGGTAGAGGGAATCAAGGGGTGGGACAGCTGCCGGGGGTGGGGGGGGAATGAGGAATGCGGTAGTAGTCAGGACCATGGAGGTTAGGGAATGGGCAGGCACCAGGGGGATGGAGTGATGCAGGAGCCTGGGGGCACACGGGGCATGAGGAGATTGGCAGGTGCTAGGGTGGCAGAGGTGGGTGGAGGGCAGAAGCACATGCCAGGGAGACAAAGTTGGGGGGGGGGAAGAGGGACAGTGGCCCAGGTGAGCAGCAGGAGTTTGGGGTTAGGGGGACGGGACAGGATAGAGGCAGGTGTCAGTTGGGCACAGAGGTGAGGGAAGAGTAAGGGAGGGGCAGGTGCAAGTGGGATGAGGTAGGTGAAGGGGGGCAGGAGGGAAGTTGAAGGGGCAGGCCCCAGGGAATCTCTGTTGCTTTGGGGTAGTGTTGTTGCTAAGAGCAAGTTGGTGCCATCCCCACACACACTGGGAGGTGCAACCCTGCCCCACTGTGTGCATCTGGGACTCTCCATGCTAGGGCATGGACAGGGTGTCTGGGCTCGCTGGAAGGGGGCAGGGTAGTGGGGGGATAAGGGGTCTTTATTAATGAGGCTGGGGCAGTGGGGAGGGGAGGGGGCATTTCACCACTTGCTGCTCCCCTCTGGAAAGACGTAACACACCTGAGCGTTATAGAGGAACTGAAGTGCACTTTTGGTCATTTCAGGGTTCAAGAAGAACTTATGACAGAGCATGGACCACAATTCACGGACGTAGAATTTAATTTATCCAAACAAAATATGATCTTCCTCATATTACTAGAAGCCCATATTACTCACAAGCGAATGGAGAGGATGAGAGAGCTGTACAGACAGCCAAGAATATCCTTCAGCAGGAAGTTCCATTCTTTGCTCTACTGAGTTATAGATCAACACCAATAGCAGTTACTGGATATAGTGCAGCATGACTCCCGATGGAAAGATGAAGGGCCATAATCCATTTAATGTGGATGTAAAATCTTAACTATAGTTTCTGTTAAGAACTTTTCATATAGGCCCGGATGAGGGCTAGCTAACAAAGAACAATGTGTGGCTAAGAGAAAGCTGGGGTAAACAGACAACCTTGTGTGTTTCAAGTCAATGAGCGGAGTCAGGATAACTCCAGATGGTGAGCTGTAACTGGGTGTCCTTATCGCAAGTTATAGACACAAGAAGCGCTGAGAAAGGCCTCAAAGTTAACTCCCTGGTACAGATGCCAGAACAGAGCTCAGGGGGGAGGCCCAACATGATTGACATGGGTAATGTCACCCTCCACTTATAGATGTATGCCAATCCCAGCTCACAAAATCCAAGGGTAAACCTATAAAGAATTTTCATTGTTAAATACTAATTACTGCCTTTTTCATTTAAATCTTCAGGAATGTACTTGTTGGTCAACCGGGAGAATTGCTAACATAGTTCCTATTTTTAAGAAAGGGGAAAAAAGTGATCCACGTAACTATAGGCCTGCTGGTTTGACATCTGCAGTATGCAAGGTCTTGGGAAAAAATTTGAAGGAGAAAGTAGTTAAGGACATTGAGGTCAATGGCAACTGGGACAAAATACAACACGGTTTTACATAAGGTAGATCATGCCAAACCAACCCCCTGATCTCCTTCTTTGAGAAGGTAAAAGATTTTTTAGACAAAGGAAATGCAGTGGATCTAATTTACCTCGATTTCAGTAAGGCATTTGATACGGTTCCACATGGGGAATTAGCAGCTAAATTGGAAAAGATGGGGCTCAATATGAAAATTGAAAGGTGGATAAGGAACTGGTTAAAGGGGAGACTACAACGGGTCATACTGAAAGGTGAACTGTCAGGCTGGAAGGAGGTTACTAGTGCAGTTCCTCAGGGATCGGTTTTGGGACCAATCTTGTTTAATCTTTTTATTACTGACCTTGGCACAAAAAGTGGGAATGTGCTAATAAAGTTTGTGGATGACGCAAAGCTGGGAGGTATTGCTAATACAGAGAAGGACCGGGATATCATACAGGAAGATCTGGATGACCTCATAAACTGGAGTAATAGTAATAGGATGAAATTTAATAGTGAAAAGTGCAAGGTCATGCATTTAGGGATTAATAACAAGAATTTTGGTTATAAATTGGGGACACATCAGTTGGAAGTAACAGAGGAGGAGAAGGACCTCGGAGTATTGGTTGATCACAGGATGACTATGAGCTGCCAATGTGATATGGCCGTTAAAAAAGCTAATGCGGTCTTGGGATGCATCAGGCGAGGTATTTCCAATAAAGATAAGGAGGTGTTAGTACCATTATACAAGGCACTGGTGAGACCTCATCTGGAATATTGCGTGCAGTTCTGGTCTCCCATGTTTAAGAAGGATGAATTCAAACTAGAACAGGTAAAGAGAAGGGCTACTAGGATGATCCGAGGAATAGAAAACCTGTCTTACGAAAGGAGACTCAAAGAGCTTGGCTTGTTTAGCCTAACCAAAAGAAGGCTGAGGGGAGATATGATTGCTCTTTATAAATATATCAGAGGGATAAATATCAGGGAGGGAGAGGAATTATTTACACTCAGTACTAATGTGGACACAAGAAAAAATGGATATAAACTGGCCATCAGGAAGTTTAGACTTGAAATTAAACGAAGGTTTCTAACCATTAGAGGAGTGAAGTTCTGGAACAGCCTTCCAAGGGGAGTAGTGGGGGCAAAAGACATATCTGGCTTCAAGATAAGTTTATGGAGGGGATGGTATGATGGGATAGCCTAATTTTGGCAGTTAATTGATCTTTGATTATTAGCGGTAAATATGCCCAATGGTCTGTGATGGGATGTTAGATGGGGTGGTATCTGAGTTACTACAGAGAATTCTTCCCTGGGTGCTGGCTGGTGAGTCTTGCCCACATGCTCAGGGTTTAGCTGATCACCATATTTGGGGTCGGGAAGGAATTTTCCTCCAGGGCAGTTTGGCAAAGGCACCTTGAGGTCTTTAAACCACGATTTGAGGACTTCAATAACTCAGACATAGGTTAGGGGTTTGTTACAGGAGTGGGTGGGTGAGATTCTGTGGCCTGCATTGTGCAGGAGGTCAGACTAGATGATCATAATGGTCCCTTCTAACCTTAAAGTCTATGAGTCGCTACCTAATTCCCCAGGACCCCAAAATTAGGATTTAACCTATATACTTTAATAGAAATAGTTGAAGGGTAATTACATGTGTGTTAGCAATATGTTAATTTGAACCATGGGCGGAGCCATTATGTAATCTTTTAGACCATTGGCTAATTGTGCTTATCTTGTCTTGCTGCTAGAACCTATCCAGGAGCTTGGGAAATCCCCATCCCCATCGCTTCTCTCCACCCAATGAGCACCCTATATAATCTATTGTAATTAGTTGTTCTGTAGTGTCTATGAATCTGATAAGCAAGTGACACTCCGCTGTGTGTAATTAACTCCTGTGCTTGACTCTACACCATGTCCATTTCTGATCCTTCAGAAGACAACTCAGAACTACCCTCTGTGATCGGGCAAGGCCAGATGGCTACAGAAAAGTAGTGAGGTACAGGTATGTTAGCCCCAGGCTAAACAAATCCCTCATACCATGGTAACCAAATGGCAGTTGTTCCAGGTTAATCAAGACACCTGGGCCAATTAAGATCCTTCTAGAAGGCAGTGGAGATAGCTAGATTGATTGGGACACCTGAAGCCAATCAAGGGCTGGCTGGAACTAGTTAAAAGCCTCCCAGTTAGTCAGTGAGGCGTGGGTGTTGGGAGCTGTGCAGTTGGAGGAATGAAGCAGTACAAAGCCATTATCAGGTGCAAGGAAGGCAGCCCTGAGGTAATGGTGAAGGAGATATTGAGTGGGGACTGCTGTGGGGGAGTGGCCCAGGGAATTGTACACATCCTATTTCCAAAAAGTCAGCTACCATAGCTGCTAATTTTAGGGTCCCTGGAGTTCCCCCCTCCCCTCCCTGACTAATCACTGAGACTGGGAGACAAGAGACTGTGCAAGAGAGGGTTGTTTTTCCTCACCTCCCTTGTTGGATTATTATGAAAATGGCTCAGTAAGCTGTGACCCTTGCCTCTAGAGAGAGAAGGGCTACGTAGAGGGTCACAGTGAGCCTCTGAGGCTAGCAAAATCTGCCAGGAAACGCAGGACCCACGGAGTCAAGGACAGAGCTTTGTCACACCTCCCAACTTTAGAAAATAATCTATCTCCAAAGTTGCCAGACACCTAGAGAGTAGCCAAATGGAATAAAAAAGCAAAAAGAGCTTATGAACACTTTTACAACAGACATCACTCAGAACACTACCAGGCCTGGAACTTGGTGACCATGTTTGTGTCAAACTGGAGGGAGAAAAAGAATGGAATACTCCAGCTATTGTAAAAAAAAAAAAAAAAAAAAAAGAATTAAAAACCCAGGCTGTATGTGATCAAAACCAAGACAGGAGAGTTCAACAGAAACTGTCAACATCTACAGTTTGTTCCTCAGAAAGAACAATCAACTGAGCAAACTCTACAGATGGTGGATGCAGAACAAGATGATTCCATAGTCAGTCACTGGAAATAATGGACAGCCAGATGACCAAGCTGTTACCTATTCGGGTCGTGTAATTAGAAGACTAGCACCATTCAGAGACACCTAACAGACTGATCCACACTGAACTTCAAAAACAGAGCGATGATGAATATATTATATATGGTAGGAATGTAGAATTTAAAGGGGGAGATGTAATGCAATGCTAAACTGTATTATGCTGTTCAACCACTAGGTAGTGCTGGGTGTAAAATACCATATTTAAGAGGACATCAGCCATACTTGGCAGAAGATTAAAGGATTTTGTGATGAACACACCAGATGTGTTCATCTGGATGAGAGGGAAGCTCTGTAGCCAGCCCATATCTGATACACGACCAATGATGAAAGCCCAGTGCTATTGACTACCTCTGCTATGGCCAAAGAGTTGTTCTGAACTATGACATGCTGAAGACTATGGGGGATTTTACCCATGACATGAGCTACATAGAAACTTCAGGAATCAAACTCCTGGTCTCTTCATACTTCAATGACGAGAATAAAACTATGGCCAGTGGCCTTGCAGATTTCCTTGTGGCAGCAGGGCAGGAAGTACCCCCCACCTCACCCCAGCTGCAGAACATAACCAAGTGTCAGCCATGGTCAAGCCTACCTTTGAATACAGGTTGGCTCTGGGGGTGGGAGGAAATGTATCAAGAGGGCTGGCCCTTTTAGGGGAATCAGGGACCAGCCTACCTGTTGCAGGCTCCTGTAAGGGAGAATGAGACAACCCAGACCAAACTGGAAGTAATTAAATCCCTAGGTGAGTAGTTGGCAGCGAAACGGTTAATGAGCCAGATAAAGGGTTACCAGGGCTCAGCTGAAGGGATCCTAGGGACAGGAAGCTGGTGAGGAGAGGAGCTCCCAGAGCCAGGATCCTGAAAGGGGTGCTCCTAGAGCAGTGGTCCCCAAACTATGGGTTGTGCCCCCCTCAAAGGTGTGGAGGAACATTTGGGGGGCATGACAGGGCCTGGACCAGCCCCCATGGGTGGCGGGAAGGAAACGCCACCCAGCCCTGCTCCACCCCCAGCTCCACTCCAGACCCACCCTAAGCCCCAGCTGCATCTCCGGCCCCGGCCTCAGCCACTAACTCCCGGCCCTGCTCCAGGCTGTGACCTCAGCTGCAGCTCCAGCCCCAACCGTGGTTCCACCCCCAGCCGAAGCTCACAGCTCCCGGCCCCGACTGCGGGTCCACTCCCAGCCATGGCCCCCATTGCAGCCCCGTTCCTGGTCCTTCTCCCAACTGCAGCTCCCAGGGTTGGGGTGCAAACCAAGTAAGGGAGGGCATGACCTCCCCTGAGGGGGAGGAGCTGCCAACTGGGACAACAGGCCGGGCTGGGAGCTCTGGCAGCGAGCGCGGTGCCAGCACCAACAGCACTGCTGGAGACCCTGGGCCTGGCCAGCCTAGAGCAGCCAGCGAGTGACTCAGGGCCTGTGACCCTGCCCAGGAAGGGGCTTACAGGGAGCTGGCAGGAGGCTCCACAGGGGCTTCTGATCCCCTAGAATGAGGCACTGAGGTGACAGGCTCAGGGGCCAGGGGTGTGGAATGGCCCAGAGCCCAGCCGTGTTCAGGGTCCAGTGGGGACAGACTGAGCAGGGCTGGGAGCAGTGAACGGGGAGGGGAGCAGGGATGTGCTGGCTCCAGCCAGTCACAGAGAGGAAGCTGCTTCCCCCCCAGCCTGGGGCTCCTGCTCCCCTGAGATCCTGGCCCTGCAGCCGGCACCGACTGCGCAGCCTCCATCGGCCGGGACAGACACACCCAGGGGTAGGTGGGAAGAGAGGAGCGGCGGGGGTAGGATGAAAGGGCCAGTTCAGTAACCACGGACCAAGCTCACTGAACCTTCCCAGTCCCCCTCTCCTCTGCCTTAGTTTCTTCTCTGTCCCCCCTCGCTGTCAGGTTTCTGCCTTTGCCCCCGGTCTCCGTGCTGGGGTTGGGGGGAGGGGTATGGATGGGGGCAGCTCACGCTCAGCCATTGTGACAGGGTCACACTCTTGTGAGTGAGTCTCACTCACTGAGCAGCAAACCACTGACGCAACCTCACACTGGGCTGTGCTCAGAGCAGACGAGGGGCCTGTAGGATTCAGCTTGTTACTCAGTAACACACAGCCCAGGTCAGACCGCAGCAGCCAGACTGGCCCCTCCTCCAGCTCAGAAAGCTCGGCCAGCCTTGGCTAATGGGGGCAGGGACAGTGCTGAGCGGTGGCCACACCATGCAGCCCTCACATGTCCCAGGAGAGAGGCACAGACACGTCATCCGTTACCAGTCTGTGCAGCACCCAGCACAATGGGCCCAGTCCAGGCCTCACGGCACCTGGCTCAGTGACACGCATTAACTCAGCCATGGAGGGGTCAGGATATCAGAGTGATGGGGCCTGGTCAGACACCTGGGCAAGTACCAGCAGGTGGCTGTAAGTAGCAGGCAAACTGCCCAGCACTAAGCGCATCAGCCTCCAGCTACCACACAGCTCCAAGCCTGTCAACTGGGTGCATGCGTTTCCTGGGGTCCCAGGCTCTGTCCAGATCCCCAGGCACAATACAGCTGAATGTCCCAGTTGACTCCACTCACCTCCGAATCTCTGCAGCGCTTCCCTCATGTCAAGGGAAATTTTATACGTGTTTTTCAGGGCAGTAGAAACAGCTTCTGGTTCCTGGAGTTTCACATTCTCACTCCTATGAAGAAAACGTCCCATCATCACTCAGCTGCTCTGTACACACGTCATCCCAGAACCATCACCACGAATATAAGAGCAATGAAAGTGGGAAACACACCTGCTCAATGTGCTTGTCACATCCTGAAAGGAAAAAGAGAATCAATGTTCTGTATTAACACAATGTGCATAAAACTGAGTGAGTCTCACTCTGGGCATCAAACTTCCATCTAGAAAATAGATCAACCCTCCCAGGCTTCACTGTTTTGTGGTAAAATCTCATACACCGTTTTGCATTAACACTAGTTTCATGTATGTAGGTGAGACAGGAATTTAGCTGAAGGATTCTCCCTTCCCGGGACCCAGCCCATCAGTATCTGTGTTTATCAACTGTGTTGGGTCCAATGTTCTGGAGTCATTGTAGGGATGGGTTTATCTCAGTATCATTTTTGTCTCATCCATTTAATCTCCCATGGCCTCACTGGGTCTCCAGGAGGAGAATTCCCCTCTGACATGAACTGCGATATTTTGGAACTGATGGAGCCCTTAGCCGGATGTTCTGTTCCTCAGTAAACCACAGACACATTTACTCTCATTGTTTGGATCCAGACCCAGGGATCTGAGTTATAATTCTGGATGGGTGGAGAATTTTGATGCCATCTCACCTTTAGCAGCTCGACAACTGGTTGCTGACACTTCTCCTCGATCTCTGTGATCAGCTGCTGCAGAGAGGAGCTTTGCTGAGAGAGTTTGGTGACATTTCCCCTTAGTCTCTGCAGAGTCTCCCTCTCCTCCTCCTCCAGTCTCTGGAGAAGCAGCTGCTCCTCCTCTCTCAGCAGTGTGTGCAGTTTGTTAAATTCACCTGCAATCATCTCTCTCCTATTCTTCACGTTCCCCTTGAGAAAGAAAAATAGGAAAGGCACAGAGAAAATGTGAGCCAGATGTTGAGTTAAACAGACTGGGCCTCTGACCTGGAATCAGGGGATATTAGATCAGTATCAGGTTTTTAAGGATATTTACTTCTTTGGGAAACGTACCATAAAGGGTTTGTTTTAGTTCAGAGTTAATATGGCCAGTTCCACAGTGGGGTTGTCTAGGGTGCTTTGTAAAGACGCCGTATGTTATTGCAGGTGACATGGGATGGACACAGTGTAGTGGGGAGAAATCAAGGGAACAGGAGAGATTTACAGGGGGCTGCACAGGGCGTACGTGGGGGGATTTGGGTGCCCAGTGCTTTGCCCTCAGACACCACGGGGAGCCGTCACAGTGAGATGTGGGTGATGCTCCTTCTTTGACAACCTGCTCCCAGGGCTGCAAAGTTCAGGACCTAGAGCTCCACACCCGCAACTGGGTTTGATGCTCAGAAGAGCTCAGCTCCCAGCATGCCCCCAGCCCAGCCAGCTGAGTGACTCTGAACCTCACCCATGGGGCAAATCCTCCTCCCAGCTCCAGTGTCTGGCCCAGGCACTGGGCAGAGTCACTGCAGGGATTGTGGGTGCAGAGCGAGAAGGAACAATCGGTTTCCTCCAGCAGAGACACTGCAGAGCTTTGTCATGGAGGTCACTGAAAACCGATGGCTGTAGCAGCTGACACACACTCCCCATGTGGAGGAGGGAAACAGGACCCATGGAATAGTGAAAACACTGCACCCAATATGAAGAATTTGCCCCTATCAGAGACCTCAGGGGTGGGTCTGCACCACTGTACAAGGGCCAGGACCTGCCCCTCCTCCCCCTACAGGAGCTGCTGCGCTGAGATCCCCACCAGAGACACAGCCTGGTGCTGCTAGCACCCTGGATGGCAGGTACCATAGGCCAGGGGAGGCTGAGCCTCCCCAGACAGGCTGCAGCGCCCCTCCCTTTGGAGGCAGGCTGCAGACCTGCCGCCTTCGGAGTGCTGCCTGTGCGCCGCCCGGAGGCCTCGTTCCCGCTCTTCCCCCAAAGCCCGCAGCACCCGCTGCTTGCCGCCCATCAGCTGTGTGGGGGGCCCCGCCACTTGCTCCTCTCTGCACCCCCGTCATTCGCCCTTAAGGCAGGAGGGGGCACAAAGGAGCAAGCGGCAGGCGAGGGGGCCTTGGCGGGGGGGAGAGGAGCGAGCTGCAACAGTGAATGGTGAATGGGGAGACTCTGGGGAGGGGGCTGAGCGGGAGCGGGGTATGGGGCAGAGCAGGAGCGGAGCATGGGTGGGGCCTCTGGGAGAGGAGTCCAAATGGGGGTGGAGCAGTGGGCAGGGCGATGATCCGGGCGCTGGGGAGGTTCCGCCACTCACGCCCGGCCTCCCCCAATGCGGGAGGGATGCGCTGCCCATGGCCGGCGTCAAGCCTGTGCAACGGAGCAAACAACCAGAGCAGGTTCATAACCTCATCCTGGAGCTTTAAAGCCCTGTCATTCCTGGGAACGCTGCAGGGGGAAGGGCTCAGGGAGGAATAAACCCGGACACCCACCTGCCACTCGGTGGTTTTCTTCTTCTCTTTAGACGTCAGAGCCAGGGCCTCTTCCAGCTCCTTCCTCAGAGGGCCCAGAGCTCCCTGGAGTTTCACCTGCAGGGGCATCGTGTGCGATAAACAACCATTAGTCTGCCTGTGCGATGGGTGGACAGTACTGTCCATATTGGCATTTCATACACCAGCAGTAAATACCCTGGAAGCGAGCACCAGACTCGGCTCTGCCGGCCCCAAGGCCTCATGGGAGCAGAGACGCCAGTCTCAGAGCAGGGGCTCTGCTTCCTGCGGACACTCAGGACTTCTCAGAGCCTGTGTTTGAGCTAAAGCTTCACATCACTGAGCACAGGCCAGAGGGGAAACAGCTGGGAAGGTTCTGAACGATCCCTCCTGCCAATGAGAGTGAAGAGGTTGGGACAGCACCTCGCTGCCCTGTGCCCAGACCCAGGCCAGGAACAAGACCCCACTGTGCTCTCGTCTGTCCAGGCTCCCATGTGGCCTCCCTCAGGCAGCAGTGAGCACCTGAGCCAGCGCAGTCCCATTAACTGTACACATGAGCATAGCTAGGAGGGGAGCAGGGGGCGCGGCCGCTCCCCGCTGAGCACATTTTCTAAAAGCGGCCGGAGGCAGGTTTTGCATGGCCCTCCCCCATCCCCAGCCCCGCTTGCTCGTTTCAGGCGGCGTCGGCTGGTTGCCTGGCTCCCCCCCGCCCGCAGCTGCCCAGCTCGCTAAGCCGAGCCTCGCTTGGTGCACGCTGCCCAGGCAGGGGTGGGCTCTGCCGGGAGGGGAAGGGACAGCAGCACAGCCCCCCAGCGTGGCGGGGGAAGGGGGAAGCTGAGGAGCAGCAGCCCCGAGCCCTTTAAATCCTCCCCCCCGCCCCCACAGCACTGGCAGCTGGGCTGGGGCCGGGATTTAAAGAGCCGTGAGCTCCCGCTGCTGCGGGGAGCCCTGAGCCCTTTACATCCCGGCCGGCCGGCCCCAGTCCTGTTTTAAATCATTTTTTTTAATAGTGTTTTAAATAATTTTTTTCAGTCCAGAGGAAATTCGTCACTTATCTTTTTTAACTTTATAAAGTGCTGTGCACAGCTATAGCAGTATAAAAACATAAAACAAAGAAAACAATTATTTTCAGGTGTGATTAATAATTCAAAGGCTTAGAGTCAATGCAGGTCACCAGATATATACAGGCGAATGTATTTGATTGCTCACAACCAACTATGGGTATTTTTGTGATCTAGCGGAGACCCCAACAGGTATCAAATACTTAGTTACATTTGTAGCTTGGTATATATTTTCCCGTTCTCTCTCTCTCTCACTCTCTCTCTCTTTCAGGGATGCTATTTTAATTTTGTTGTCTTCTTTTTCTATTGCCAGCTATCGTTACCACACAAGAGACCAGTACAACTAGTAAGTCTTTTCTCACTCTTGCCTTACTCTTGGACAAGGGGGATCCAGTGGACATGGTGTACTTAGATTTCCAGAAAGCCTTTGACAAGGTCGCTCACCAAAGGCTCTTACGTAAATTAAGTTGTCATGGGATAAAAGGGAAGGTCCTTTCATGGACTGAGAACTGGTTAAAAGACAGGGAACAAAGGGTAGGAATTAATGGTAAATTCTCAGAATGGAGAGGGGTAACTAGTGGTGTTTCCCAAGGGTCAGTCCTAGGACCGATCCTATTCAACTTATTCATAAATGATCTGGAGAAAGGGGTAAAAAGTAAGGTGGCAAAGTTTGCAGATGATACTAAACT